TCTTCTACATGTTGATATCAAGTTATACCAGCACCATTTGTTAAACATACTTTTTTTTTCTATTTTATATTTTTTGCTTCTTTGTCAAAAATCAGGTGTTCATAGGTGTATGGATTAATATCCAGGTCTTCGATTTGGTTCCATTGGTCCTCTTGTCTGTTTTTATGCCAATACCAGGCTGTTTTCAGTACTGAGATCTGCAGTAGTGTTTGAAGTCAGAGATTGTGATGCCTCCAGAAATTCCGCTATTGTATAGGATTGTTTTGGCTATCCTGGGTATTTTGTTTTTTTCATATCAAGTTGAGTACCATTCTTTTGAGGTCTGTGAAGAATTTTGCTGGGATTTTGCTGGGCATTGCATCGAATCTATAGATTGCTTTTGGTAATATTCAGGCCCCACCTCTTACAACACTCATCATCCTCTGAATCCTGCCTTACTCTTCTTTCTAAACAGTCATCAGGTAATACAAGAAATACTATATTTACTATGTTTGCTGTTTTGTATCATTTCCTTCCACTAACAGGTATAGTATAGCCATTATAGAAACAAGGTAAGAGGGTAGTCAAAAACATTTAAAACAAAATTACCACATTCCTTAGCAAGACTAAAATCCAGCAGGGAAAACACTAAACCTTGCACTCAGTGTAGAGCATCTGAGGTGATGAAACTAGGTGGGTAGCTCCTCCCCTGAAGCTTTGCTAACTGTAACAAGGAGTCTCTGTTTTAGACCAGCTGTATTCCATGTCTGTAGTTTTCCTCAACAGACATCCCATGGTTCTGGCATCTCCAACATCCTGGGGTCTCCACTGAAACTTGGTCTTCATCTTCAAAGATTCATGCAGTAGACTTGGGGGTCTTTTTGCAGGAGATTCCAGGGGCCACACATTGCCTGTCCTCGGTATCTCTTAGAAACTATAATATGGGATTCCATGTGTCCCTCATATCTTGTATCTTCCATGCTTGTAAAACCAGTAACACATCATTGACACTTCCAAGTCTGCAGCCAGCTTAGGACGGAGCCTGGTCACACTGAACCAGAGTTGCGTCAGCTTTCATGTGCTAACCCTGGGAAGACACTTCCCCTGAGGGTTGTTTTCAATGAAGAACCCTTCGCCTAGCATCCTCCATGGGCTGCCTCCTTCTGAGGAATTCACATATTCACAAGATGGCTCCTTAGATTTGCAGTCCCACCCTCAAGGTGCCTTCTCTCCTGCTCCAGTGCAGCCCAGTTTCTAAGGGTGCTGACCTCTTTAATGACTATAACTGTTTGCAAACTGCCTGGTCCATGAACTATAAACTGGCCACACTTTTTTCTTTGCCAGACTGTAGAGTTTTCATCTTTCTGTTCTTCTACCTGTTACTCTCCCTCACTGTAAATCTGAGCACAGCCTGATATTATCCTATCTTGAAATTCCCGCTGTCAAACAAATTATTCCATTACTTTCCAAGTCAGCCTCATACAAGTTCTCAGAACCATATATAACATGAACAGTCTCTTACTCAGTTCCACCAAGGGTCCTTGCTCCTTTCTGAAATCTCATGACCCGTTCATATTTCCACTTGATGTGGGATGTCCTTCTGTATATGCGTTCATCTTACTGGTTAATGAATAAAGCTGCTTTGGCCTATGGAAGGACAGAATACAGCCAGGCTGAAAGAGATATATAGAGAGAGTAGGCAGAGTCAAGGAGATGCCATGTAGCTGCCGAAGGAGACAGATGCTAGATCCTTACCAGGAGGCTATAGCCTCGTGCTGATATACAGATTAATAGAAATGAGTTAAGATGTAAGAGTTAGCTAATAAGAAGCCTGAGCTAACAGGCCAAGCAATATTGTGACTGATACAGTTTCTGTGTGGTTATTCGGGTCTGGGTGGCTGGGAAATATAGCAGCAGTCTCTGCTTACATCCACTGCGTTTCTCTCAGCATTTTGGTCTTTTTCTGAGCTCCCACCAAAATGGTCCACTGATCTCTGTGTGCACCATTCTAGCTAGGCATGATGAAAGGAACAGTTCCTTGTTTTCTTTTCCAGCTTTTAGTTTCAAGGATATAGTTCACTGCAGCAGGGAAGAAACGGCAGCAGAATCATGAAGCAGAGAGAGGTGATTCTCTGCAGCCAGTGTCTCTCTTTCCTCTGACTCAGACTACAACCGCACCCCCTGGGCTGCTGCTGCCTACACCCTGCATGGGTCTTCACACCACTTAACTCAGGTACAGAGCCTCTCTCACAGCTATGCCCAGAGGTTTATCAACATCTTGATTCCGGATCTGTCAAAACGAGAACATTACCACCACATATGTAGTGAGTTGACATGGGACAGAAGAGGAATAAGTCGCAGAAAATATCTCATTTCTTCAATCTAAAGAATGTTGAGTTCAACAAACATTGGTCATTTCCAGACACCTGAGGTTAGGAGTAATGTCGATTACAGAATTCAAACGCCTGGCTAAATGAGAGTAAATTCAAGAAAACAATCCTATAATATAAGGATTATAGTTGATGTACACCTGAAAAGTGCTAAAACAGGGTGGGGCACAGTGGCACAAACTTTTAATCTCAGCACTCAAGGGCAGCCTGGTCTGCAAGGCCAGCAAGTTACACAGTGAGGCTCTGACTTAAAAAACAGAAGCGTGCGGGGGGGGGGGGGGGGCACAACAAACAGAAAAGAAACTGGTAAGACAATGGATCTTAGTCTCAATGCAAAATAAAGATCAAATGTGTGTGACAACGGTAACTCCATTTAGTCATTTCAAAGTATGTATTCCAAAGCAATATACAGTGTATAACAAATATGTGAAACTTATTTACAGTAATATGAATTCAGTAAGAGGACCTTGTAGTCTTTTGGATTATCAAGTTAACTCCAGTGCCAAAAAAACAAAAACAAACAAACAAAAAAAAAAACAACACAAAGTGCATCAACTGCCCCTCTATAAATACTGCCTGAAAGAAAGGAACCGGGGCTCTGACTCCTGCACATGAAGGAGCTCATTTCAGCCTGGCCTTGGACTTGACAGTCCTCACAATTCTGTCTGGCCCCTTGACTCTGTTTTCTGTTTTCTCAATACATGTCTGAATGTGTGACTCTTCCTCCCCTACCCCTTGTTATTTACTTCCTGATACTGTATAAATCTTTCCTACAACATCACATAATGCTTCCATCAGTACAGTGTTCAAAGGTAAGTCATAGGGCTCACGGAAATTAGCTTCGATCCTCCTCTTCTTTCTCAAAAGTTAATCTCTCCACATACAACAGAATCAGGAAACATATCTGCACTAGAAGCTTCTTTGGTATTTTTTCGAAATGTTTTTTCCTCTCTGACCCTGCTACTGCCAGTGGCTGGCCACCACACAGGAAAAGCCCCCCGCCCACCCACTCTCTGCTTAGGCATCTGCCCAATATTTCACAATGAACATCATACATTGTGATGACTCTGAAGATGGCCACTGAAGATCCCACTGCATGTCTGCATCTTCAGCATAGAGCTGGCATGTTAAAGGGTATATTTTATAAATCATAAGTTTCACGGCTGCCCACAACGGCAGCATTCCTGACGCTCACATTGGTTTGGTACAGTGAAAGAGATATCTCTGCTGATGAATGTGCAGTCGTACAACATGCTTCCCGTTTCTGTGACAGTTGCTTAGGACTCTAAAGCATGCATTTGTTGCCTAAGTATATGCTGATCTATTTCTGCGGTTGAAATTTCTAGTCCTTCCTGTTTGAATTCTGTTCAATTTTTTTCTTTAATGACTCATCTTAAATTGACTTTTAACTTCTAACACCACGCAGCCAATTCTTTCAAGAGAAGAAGGGTGATATTTGATCATTCATCTAAACGCTCACAGGGAAGCCGGCAGAATTGATCATCAGGTAAAGGCATTTGCCACAAAGCCTGACAGCCTGAGATGGAATAAGATAAGGCCTGCAAGCTGCCCTCTGGCCTCCAGTGTACACACAAACGAGACAGTCAGACACACGAAGAGACACACCATAAATAACTGTAACAAAAAATTCAAGCTCTTCCAGGAATTCTTCCTTTTATCAAATACATTCACACAATGTAGTAAAAAGGTATTCTAACGGTTACTCTTGTGACTGCAGGCCTGCAGGACTGCTGAAAAGCTCCAGAGTTCCCCGTCTGCCTGGAAAGGCAGCAGGCACCCCAAGTGTGCCTAACTCTTCTATCTTTACCAGTCTTGAGCAGTCTCCCTACCTGAGCAGCTGGTCTACACTGTGTGCTGAGAGAGAGAAGGGGCAGAAGCTGGATATTGGTGAAAAGAACACAAGAGCATACTGGGCAACATCCTATAAAAGAGTGAGCACTGTATAGGAGAGAGCGGAAAATCCTGTCTCTAAGAATCCCTGAAACAGGCTGGGTGGTGGTGACACACGCCTTTAATCCTCCAACTTGGGAGGGAGGCAACAGCAAGAAGATCTCCAGCTTCAAGTCCAGCTTGGTCTACAGAGCAGGACAGACAGGGCTACACAGAGAATCCGTGTCTTAAAAAACAAAGCAAGCAAGAAAGAAAGGACTCCTGAAACAGGCAGGGCATGGTGGTGGTGGATGCCTATAGTTCCAAGCAGGAGGCAGAGGCTGCCAGAGACAGCAGAGACTGTGGGTTCCAGGACAGTCTGGTCTACTACTGTCCTGATCCTGGGTGAGTTCCAGGATCGCCAGAGAAACATTGAGAGACCTTGTTCAAAACAAATAAACAAACAAACAAAAAGAACCAAATTCCTAAAGCTTTAACAAATATATGGGAGGCGCAGTTCAGTAGTTGTTGAGCTTAGAAGCAAACACCCAACAGCGTGGTAACGCCTTCAGAGTCCCTGTCAGTAAACAGTAAACATTCATGTCTTTAAAGTTATGCTTAAAATGTCAGGGCCTTCACATACTCAAGTCATGGAAGTTAGCATCCCTCTGTGACACTCAAATTCTATTAGAACTCAAAGAAATACATTCATTCAGCTATAAGGTCAAAATAGCCAGTTACCTTTTCTTTGGAGCGTAGGCCGAAAATTCTGATTGATTTACCAGTGAATCTTCATCTGCTGGGATTGTGGAAGCTACTTCCTTCTTAATTCTGTTGAAAAAAAAAAAAAAAAGCAAAGGAATGAAACAGAGGACACAAAGCTAATTGGAAATCTATAAAAAATGTTTTTTTCTTTTTATGCTTTTTTTTTGTTGTTGTTGTTGTTTAAGACAGGATTTCACTGTGTGCAGCCTTGGCTGTTCAGGAACTAGCTCCTTAGACTATACTGGCCTTGAACTCATGGAGACCCGCCTGCCTCTGTCTCACAAGTACTGGGATTAAAGGTGTGTGCCTCCATTGCCCAGTAGAAATCTATTATCTTATTAGTTGCCATGCATTTCAAACTGTTATATGTTTCTGAAGTATCAGACTGCTAAAATTAGAGGCGCCAATTCATCAACAAATGCAGCCTCCTTTTATAATGAACTTAATTCACTATACTTAAAATAAACAAGGAACAAATGACCATTCAACACGTCCACAGAGACATCCTCTGTGGGTTTAAAGATCATTGTGTGAAATTTCCACCAATGAGTTTCCATTTAATTTTTAAAATTGCTATTTCAAAGTCTGTTTTCATGAAACCTGTCAGATCATATCTTTAAAATATGGGCTTACACACCAAATCTCAAATGCTCGCTCTACCCTTTACAATTCCACAGGATAAAAAAGCAAAGCAGCTTTTAAACAGGAAAGAAAAACTCAATTAATTCGCCTTCCTAAAAGAGCACAAGGGGTGAGCAATGGTGACGCATGCTTCAACCAGCACTGTGGAGGGAAAGGCAGATCTCTGTGAGTTCCCAGACAGCCTGCCCTACAGAGAGTTCTAGGACAGCCGGGTCTACACAGAGAAACCTGTCTTGGGGGAAAAAAAAGCACAAGGAAACCATGCCCTCCATTATCTTTCTGTATATGCAGTTATTAGAGAAAAAAAGGGGGGTACTATCTAATCTGGGGGGAAGCTGTGAGGAAAGGAGACAAAGGTTTGAAGATTAACAAACTAAAGTTAAAAACTAAGACGGTATTCAACCTAAGAGAGCAGCAAATGCAGCGATGGCACAGCTGAGCATAAAACACAGACAGTCTAGGCACAGTGCCACACACCTTTAATCCCAGAACTAAGGAGGCAGGTTGGCTTCGTATGGGAATTCACTTCTCCTGTTATATAGCCTCCACGGGCGACACAATAAAGGCAGTGGCAAAAGCACTATTTGTTCAGCTTTTATTTTCACACACTTCAAAATGGTAATCAACATATTTCTATGCCTTGGCACGCCAAGAATACATTATCCCAGAAAGTCAGTCACTAAAATCCTATGTCATACTGTGTTCACTTCCTCCTAATTATCTTTTTATAGCTTTTAAATTATTCTTGAGTTATACTCTCCTCTCCTCCCTTCTTTAGCTTTAATCTCATTCACAAAATGTTACTCAGGAATGTTGAGGCACCTCCCTATCTTCACAGGCCAGACGTTCTCTTCTTCAGATTTCTAATTCTTTTAAAGAGTTTCTGATCCTGTCACTGCTCTGTCTTACTTCTAGTAAAAGCTTCTACCTCCTTCGATGTCTGTCTGTCTGTCTGGAGCCCTAACTACTCTCTGTGCAGTGTAGACATGTCGCAGGTACGACAGCCTGTACTCACAGTTCTCTACAAAGGACCACAACAGACACGGGCAACACAGGTGTTAAGGTGGAAGTAGACCTTCTCTCCTCCCTCCTTCTGAACAAACTAGAGTTGGTACATCAGCTCTCACTGGACCTTAAGTCACTAGACAAAGCCATTGCTCAATTTTCCAGCATGACACTCCAGCTATTTCCAAGGAATCCAAGGAAGTCACCGACTCTTAGATGTGACGCAATCTTCTCTGAGATAAGTTTGGCTTTAAGAGAATTCATCATTCATTAGTCATATCTTTTTAAATGTTTTACAGGAAACCTATCTTTACAGAAAAATGGTAATGGTGTTTACTAACAATCATTTTAAAATAGTAGCTTTCTGCTTAGAAAAAAGGTCGGGGTCTTTAGTAGGAAAAAACAAACATGCTTGTTTAAGTTCTCTCATCTGGCTCACAACAGCCCTGTTCAAAGTGCTGACACTGTAATTTCGTTTGTTAGAGAAGAGGCAGAGAGCTGGAGCTAGAACCCAGGCCTTGGATGCTGGTTCATTTCCTTTCCAGCACACCAAACTGCCTCAGCATCAACTTAATTTTGTTCTGAATAAAGAAGCAGTGTAAACAACAGGCTGCAAAGATTTCCTTAGGGCCCAAATCTTCAGTCCTTTATTTGCTCAACACTGATGTAGTAAGCACTTAATTTTTAAAGATTATTTTTAAGGAAGGTTTGTTAGAAGTAGTAGAGGAGGAACTACTAAAAAAGGACATCATGGTTTCATTCCAAAATCCTGAGAAATGCAGGCTTCCATCTGTTACTTCCCAGAAGTGCTGCGTCATCCCCAGTGACCCTCTTTCTCGTCAGTGCCATCATGTTTGTATTATGGGTTCCAAATTCCTGGTCACAGGCCAAACTAGACACAGGGCCTCAACTCAGAAACACAACCTACTCTTTTTAGAACCAGAAACTGGGTAAAATGGGTCTAGTTCAGTTTAGTCTGGGATAACCCATGTGCTCACTCGTCTATAGGGAAACCAGGAAGGAGAGGACAAAAGAATAAATAAGCTGGTCAGAGTGAATCTGGCCCAACAGATAGTGGCATGATCTCTATCTCTTTGCCTTTGGCTTTCCTGTCTACAGCATGGTCCCCACGTCCTTCATTTCCACAGCTCCCAACACTCTCACCTCGACCAGGCTGGGCTCTCTACCTAAAAGAGCATTTTGTTTTTGGTAACTACAACAACAAAACCTTGCCCAAGAAAGTAACAGATTTTTTACTAATAAAAAGGTAGATACTACTTGCAAATTACAAAACAAACAGACACTGCAGAATGCCCAAGGTTTTGGAAATAGACCCTCATTCACTTTAAAAAGAGAGACGAGCCCATGCTGTTACATAGGCAGTGTTCTATTGACTTTTATGGGGAAAATGGCTTATATTCTCGGACTAATATGGGTGTGTCCTCTTCAAGAAGCCGAAAACCTGTTGCAACTTTACCCACATAGTCTGGATTACTTCTCATTATATGATATAGTCTGTCAAAATTACACAACTATTCACAAAGGAAGAAATAGCAAGATAAACCAAGACAGTGCTGGTTTGAAATATGAACAGAACAAGCTTTCTTCCTGCTTGTTTCTTTCTGTCTGTCTGTCTTTCTTTCTTTGTGGTTTTTTTTTTTCAAGACAGGGTATCTCCTGTGTAACAGTTCTAGCTGTCCTGGAACTAGGTCTTGTAGACCAAGCTAGCCTCAAACTCACAGAGATCCACCTGCCTCGGCGTCCTGAATGCTAGGATTAAAGGTGTACACCACCAAGCTTCTTCCTGTTTCTTAAAGCTTAAGTTCCTAGAAAAGTCCCAAGTGTCAATGTGAGATCCATAAAGCACAGAAGGAGGTGCTAAGAGACAGGTTGCATATGAGTGCCCTCCAGGAAGCTGAACCATGATTCCTACCTGACCCTTTCTGTGCATTAGAGCTGGAAAGAGAGAGACCTTGAAAGCTGCCTCCAGTCTCTCTTCTACACAGGAAAGACTGAGAAAGCCAAGAAGTTTTCTCAGGTTGACCTACACATTCAAACAGAAGTGGTGGTGTGTGGTTGATGGTGTGCTCTGGCCTGCATAGAGGGCCTGCTCCTAGGGCAAACAGAGTATTCTACAGTATACTAGCTGTGCCCCTAATTCCCAGGTTTGTACTCTCTCTCCACCCTCTGATTCTACAAACACACAACTCATAGGTTTTTACTGTTGATAATGATATTGACATATATTGCATCTTTCATGGTGATCATGAGGGAAAAAGTAGATTTGTTGTTAACATTTAAACACTGGGAAGAGTCATACAAAATTTGTGTTGGAAAGTCCAAACATCTGGCTGCAGAAGCAGCCTTCCTTCAGAGGTTAAACAACTGATACAGTACCACAGGTTGCCTATTGCGATGGGCACACACTTTACACTCAACTAGCTGCCTTGCCCATTTTCTTCTTAAGCCTGTCTCCTGTAGGAAGCTATGATCTGTACTTCAGGAGCCTACAGTGTTTTTTTCTAAAAGTCTTCTCTCGAATGAAAAAGCTATGAGCTGTAGAGATGGCTCAGTGTTTAAGAGCATTGCCTGTTCTTCCAAACGTCCTGAGTTCAATACCCAGCAACCACATGGTGGCTCACAACCATCTGTAATGAGGTCTGATGCCCTCTTCTGGCCTGCGGGCATACACACAGACAGAATATTGTATACATTATATATATATATACATGGCTATAACCCAAAATTTAACATTAGGTTGTATGTCAGCTGAGGTACACACATAAGCAGGTATAACCCAGTAACTATGGATTAACATGGCGCCCGACTTCTTTCTTCTGACCTCAATGACACTATCACCCAAACTGAATTATTTCTTGGAAGATCTAAGCTGAAAACTGAGCCATACACTTGGCGACCTAAAGATTCCTCTCTTCAAAGGACAAGTAATGAGCATGAATATTGATGTGGTCTTGGGGAGGTCTTTCTAATCACTCCACTGTAAAAACACCCACATACAGAGTGCCAAGGCCAACTATAAGGAAGGATGCCAGCAGCTCTGGTCTAGCCCCAAGTACATTTCAGCTCCTGTTCTAGGGCCTTCTCTACCCGTATGTGATGCGTTCTGTTTGGACTTTATGTCTTTTGAGACAGGATCATACACTATAGCCCAGTCAGGGCTAGAATGACTTTGAGATCCTCCTGCCTCACCCTCGCCAGGACTGGCGCTATAGCATTATGAGCACCTGTTTTTAATGCAAGCACATTTTCTAACAGTCTCTACACAGCTACACAGAATTCAATTGCTCTCCACCGCCAGCTGATCTTCACACACGCGCAGTGCCTGGGCTTGCACGCAGACATGCACTTTACAGGTGGTGAGGACAAGCATCTGAGATGTTTTCCTCCTCAGAACA